GGCCGGCCAGGTCCAACGCTGGGACTTGTCCCGTGAGCTCCAACACGAGGGCCAACGTCAATCCATGCCGGGACCACTGTCACCCGAGTTCGGGCTTGTTCCTCGTTTCCTGTCACTCAGACCCAAAGCCCCGAGGAGAGCCCGCCCGCCGGCGCGTCACCTGTGGGGCGCCCGCTGTCCTGCTCCCGCTGGCTGCGCGCGTCCACTGTGGAGGACTCGTTCGCGTCCACCTGCTGCTCGGAGACGTTGCTGGCGACCTTCTCGTAGAAACTTTTCTCTTCGTACGTGAAGACGCTGCTCTGCAGAGGGAACGCGACGCCCCTGCGGCGGGCTCCGTGTGCCTTTCCCGCCCGCCGCCGCCGGGAGGGCTGCGTGCAGAGCCTGGCCTGACCTGGGCTGGGCTGCTGGCTTCTGCACGGCCCCCAGACCACAGCAGCAGGTCGCCCAGGGGCCCAGGGCCGGCCCTGCATGCCCGCGCCCGGCCGGCTCCTCCTCTGCGGTCCCCACACGCCCTGACGCCCCGCCTGGAGCCCACGGTGGGCCAGGCTCCCTCTTGTGCTGACCCTCCGCCCTCCTGAGCTCGGGGACACCAGGCTTCTCCCCCCGAGGAACAGCCACCCCGGGCTCCAGCTCCGTGCCCTCCTGGCTTCCGCCTGGCTGCAGGCCCCATGTCTGCTCCTTGCTCGAGTTGTCACAGCCTGTGCTTGCAGCAGGGTGACCGGGTGCCTGCCACGTGTGACTCAGGGGCCATGGCGGGGGGGGGTGCATACAGACAGGGCACTGCTTGGGTGGAGCCACCATCTGGCCGGACACACATCCACGAGGAGGAGACAGAGCCAGTGCCTGTGGAGTGTGCTGAGGGGCCTGGCCCATGTCCCTCAGCAAGCCCGCCCCATGCCCCTGTGTCACCCACCATCCCACTGGCCCTGCTCTAGGCGCATACCTGGCCCCTCGACCTCTGCCACAGCAGCCGGTCCACATGGGTGCTGGGGACCGCCACCTCCCCCTCCCTGGGGGAGCCCAGTCCAAGCCTTTGCCAAGACCCCTCAGCAGGGCGGACAGAGCCGCATGGCGGGAGCTAAAGGCAGCGTCCCCCACCCCGTCCCCAGCCCCAGTCATCCCCCCGGTGTGCTGGGCGGGGCAGCAGGTCCTCCGTGGTGCTCTGAGGCCGCTTCTGCTCGCTCGGGGGCGTACCGTGAAGGACCACTGTGCGCCTTGGAGACAGTCCTCCATGGTTTGCAGGCGCTGGGACTTAAGGGGTGCACCAGGAGCGGTGGCCCCGGGCTCCGAGGCTTGGAGCTCCTGGCCACTGCTTTGTCACCACATGCTCAAGAGGGGTCGGTGTCCTACAGCTACTTCACCTGGGGCCTGGCGGCCCCAGATGTCCTCGAACTGAGACCAACGTCCGCCTCGCCTGACCGGGGTGCCCCCCCACTCCCCGTCCTCCAGCCCGTGCAGTCCAGCTCCGCGGCGTCATCGCTCGAGTCGCTGGCAGGACTGTGTCCTGCGGGCCACGCCCGTGCTGAGTGGCCATGGCCGACACTCACGATTTTCATGACCGACTGGGAGATGTCCGTCTCGGAGTCCTCCAATGCCAAAAGGAACCTGAAGCTGGTGCCCAGGCCGCCGACGTTGGTCAGCGTGATGACCCGGGACGTGGTCTCGCCCACCACGTAGCTGCCGAAGTCGATGAGCTCCTTGTCGAGGGACAGCTGCCAACAGACCCCGAGTGAGCAGGGCGACCACACCAGGCCCAGGGCGCGGTCCCGCTCCAGCCCCGAGGGTCCCCTCCTGCCCGGGGCTGCGGCTGCATCTGGGGACATGGCCACAGATGTGCGGGCTGCTCGGGACCCTTTGGAGCACCTGAGTCCAACTTCTGAAAAGCTGAGCCAGCGAAGGGGAAACAGGCTGCTGAGCCGCACACAGACGCGGGGCCCTGAGACGCAGCTGCCTGCGTAAGAGCCGGCCTGAGGGCTGCACCCGAGTGACTGCGCGACGTGACTCTCCAGAAAAAGCAAAACCAAGGCGGTGATAAAAAGATCCGCAGTTACACGTTAGTGAAAGAGTCCACGACAGACGCCACGCAGGGCTGACGGCACATCCTCAAAACGCACGAAGCAGGACCCGACAGACGGGGGAGGCAGAACTGTACCCCGCTTCCGTCACCAGAGCAGACAGACCACCAGACAGATAAGGGGGAACAGGGCGCGAACAACTGGGACCCGGAGGGCCTGACAGACGGGCTATGGCACCCCACGGTGACACCCCACAGTGACACCCCCACAGTGACACCCCCCACAGTGACACCCCCACAGTGACACCCCCACAGTGATACCCGCACA